CCCGAGCCAAAGAGGCTCGCCGCCTGATACCCTCACAGATGCAACCAATCCCTAATGCTACTGATGATATCAGCCAACCGCACATCATTTCCTTGATCAGACAAATGAACGCCATCGTCTCTAAACAGGGCCGCCTCGCTGAACCTGATGTCAGCATGCTTGATCACATGGCCATTAATAAAACCACATGATTCAAGAGTTTCCTGGGTTTGTCAATGGCCACAGGGCAACAACTGCCACGCCAAACTCTCCTCTTCAGAAGGGAGGACCAAAACAAGGAGATTCTGGAAATAAAGCAGCAAGTTTGTCTAAGTCCTTTTTTACACTCTTGGCCTCATCTGCTGCATAGGTTTGCATTCAAATGTGAATGGAATTGCGTTTCCCCTGCTCACATGTAGCAGCTGCCTTTTCATTAGGATTCTTTTTTCCAAGCAGGAAGGAATTGTGATTGTCGCCATTGCTGGGATGCGGCTTATAATTGTGGCAGAAATAAGTGTTTGTGTCAAATTTTGCTTTAAAAGAGAAGGGAAAGGGAGCCAGCTCCTTTTCCCATTGCCTTTTCTCTGCTTTTGATCCTTGAATAATCAGCTGCGCTGGCCGATTTAGCCTGGGAAATTAAATTAATTCTCCTGCTCTGATTCCTCCAAGTGTATGTTCCGTTATGAATTATTGAAACAGGTTTATTTATGCAGTTTGATATTTTTCAGTTTTAGGGAAGCAATTAAGTTTTGCCCAAGTTGCTGATCAACAGCCTCCGTCATTAATCTCTGCTTTCTTTGGGTTAATTTTCCTCCTTTGTTTGCTCTCTCCACAACAGGATCACCCAATAAAGATTTTTTTTTCTTTCTGCTGGTGGTTTACACAACCTGCTTCTCCATCTTGATGTGGGACTCTTAAGTGCATAGCCAGAAAGTCTAGAGCAGCCAACCTGGTGGTCTCCAAAAAATTCGGATGGTGACTCCCATCACCTAGGCACAATGGCTATGCTCTCCCTCTGCAGCTGGAAACAGCAATGGTTTTGAATACCAGTTGCTGGAAGCCACAGGAGGGGAGAGGGCGCTTGTGCTCAACTCCTTCCAGTAGATTTCCTACAGGCATCTCGTTGGTCACTGGGAGACCAGGATGCTAGACTAGATGGGCTCCATATGTTCTGATCCAGCAGGCTCTTCTGATGTTCTTAAGTTTCCTGGCCCGACCAGGTCTGCTGGGCTGCCCCACCTGTTGCCTTCCTGCTTTTCTGGGCCCAGTTAATGCTCCTCCGAGCTCCACCTGGCCTCCCCTTCTCCCCTCCCTGCTTTGCCTGGCTCAGTCCGCTCCTCTCTGACAGCCACCAGAGCACTACTAAAACCAGCTGAGCTGAAACTGGCATGTAAAAATCTCTTGCAAATTTCCCCTCTGAGAAGCAAACTTTGTGATGAGATGTGCCTCAAAGGGATGGTTTTCCTTCTCCATCAAGAGAAGCGTCTCTCAGGAGCCAGAATCCTCATGAACAAGCAGCAGGAAGTCTACCCCTCCTACATTATTCTCTTTGTTCCTTCCTAACCTGCTAATGCTGTTCACCTTCCATGGCTTCTCTTTCATCTCTCCTTTCACCTGTTCCATCCTTCTCCCTTTTTTCTTCTCTGTGGCTGCTGCACCTTGGAGAACACCAAGAGTTTCTCTGTTGTACTGCGGAGGGTAGCAACTGGAGTTGGTGGCACTGAAAAAATAAAAGGCATATAAAGGAGAATTCCCTGGATGCCAAGATACAGGTGTGGGGCAAGTATCCTTTGGTGAGAGAACCCCAGCAGAGATTTAAAATCACAAAACATGTAGCAAAGTAATGCATCGAAATATAGGCTGCTAAACCTTTAAAATATGCCCTTGTAAATTCCTTCAAAAGTTTCTCTCTTTCCCTAGGAGAAAGCCCTCCACATGTTTGGTAAGTTAAACATGGTTTACTTGCAAATTCTCCAAAGGTCAATTTCATGTGCTTTTCCATACCTCATTTTGAAAAAGTTACCCAGGCAGCAAAACTTGGCTAAGTTACAAAGTTGTGAAAGTTCCTAAATTATGGTTATAGGAACTCAAATGTGGCTTGTAAGAGTCATGCAATCTGAGCTGCAGGAACCAGCTCAGACCTCCTCACACAATGAGTTTCTTTGGTAAACTGGAAGGATGAACAAAAGCTTGATTACCTATTCCCAAGGTGAGCTAAGCCTGGCAGGACAGCTATGGTCTTAACCCCTTCATGGATTAATTAGACTTAAGCATGTTGTTTATATGAGGCTGGCTATATCACAACTAGGACATCTGTTTATTGACCTGGTGCCCTCTAGATATTTTGGACTAAAACTCCCATCATCCACAGCCCAAAATGTAAATGACTTTGCCCTCAAAGTGTCCTGAAAACGTGCAAGAACAGGTTTCTGAGGTCTTAGAGCTCTCCCCAATACGTCTCAGCAATCAGGACCCAAATATCCACAGGAGCCAATGATGACCACCAATTTGGATGGCTTTAAAAGAGTAGTAGACAAATTCATGGAGGAGAGGGGCTGTCCATGGCTACTAGCCATAATGGCTATGCTCTGTCTCCACAGCTGGAGGCAGAAAGGCTTCTGAATATCAGTTACTGGGAACCACAGTAGGGGAAAGGGCTCTTGTGGGCAAATCCTGGTTGAGAGCTTCCCAGAAGAGGCTTCTGGTTGGCCACTATGAGAACAGGATGCTGGACTAGATGAACCATGGGCCTGATCCAGGAGGTCTCTTATGTTCTTCATGTGATTCTTTTCTTGGCCACACAGGTCCAGAGTCAACATCACTTTCCAGATGAGGCAAAAGTCCAAAGTTTCCCCCCTCCCTCCAGATCCCGGCTGGGGCAGATGGGAGTTGCTCTCATCAGGCTCCGTCAACATGGCCATGCTGGCTGCGTCTGATAGGAGCCGTAGTCCCAAACATATGGAGGGCACCAGGTTGGCCAAGGTTGGTGCAGAGTGCAGAGAAATCTTCTCATACCCGCTGGGCTTTCTTTGTCTTGAACGGAGCTGCCTGAAAAGTGCTAAGTTCTGATGAAACTTGTCAAAGGGATATTGATTTGCGATCAAAGGGATGTGGTTGGGGTGGTGGTTTGGGGGGTGCAGGAAGGGAAGAAAGCTCCGCTGAATAAAAGGAATATTTGAATTCCCCTTTCTTTCTAAAAAGAAGTGAAGGAAGCTGGTTTCTCTCTAGGTAGGTGTTGCTGCCAAGCCTTTCATGTAAAAGCTTAAATGGAATCTGGAATGAGGGGGAAATCTCACCGGAGCCTTGGTGATCCTTGTAGCCCTCAATTAAAATTAATACGAGCATTGATCTGTACAATTTATTAATGGGCCGGCCCTGACGGGGGAGCTGCTCTGATAAACAGCTGCAGCCCCAAACAGCCCACGCTGCGTGTCCCCCCCACCCTGCCACCGCAACTTACTGGGCTCCTTCGGGGGTCCCCCGTCACTGCCTCCCGACCGGTTTTTAATTGGTCTGACTTGTTACTATTCAAACACTGCAGGACCAATTAGCTGGCGGTCTTTTCTGACCCACGGCTGGCGTGGGGCGAGGAAGCCCCCGAGGCTCGCTGTGAAAAATAGGAATAAAAAGAAGTTGCAGCTTCAGCCTGCGAGCTTCCCATTCCTCTCTCTGGCTCCCTGATTAACAATCGTGTCAGGGTTATCGCAAGCCTGAAATATTAATGTTGGTTGCAGCTGGGGGGGGGGAAGCTCCCCCCCGCTTTTCGTTTTATGCTTTCTATTAATCTTTAATGATAGCATTGGTCATTGAGGCTCTTTTATCTTGTCAGATAAATGTATGGTTAACAGGCTAATGAGACTTCCAAAGCCGGCTGCCAGCCATCCAGGGCATGCGGCGACCTTTGACCTCTCTTGCGAGGGCGAGGCAGGGAGGAGGGAGGCATGCCATGGCGCCGTTGGCAAAGGGGCTGAGGATGGATGGAGAGGAACTGATGGATGGGTTAAGCTGTGCGGCGCCAGGGTCAGGGGGGGTCCCTTGGCTCGGGGAAGCAATTGCGGTTTTATTACCGGCAGGATCCAAGGGGGGTGTAATTAGATGTAGCTCGGCTGCTTTATTAATAAGTAATCTGTGCTGTCATTGCTTTGGGTTCGCGAGTCTCTTCCGCTGGTAATTGAGGGCATTGGTGTGGCTTTATTTATTAATTAATGCGAGGTGCATTTCCCCACTTACGGCAGAGAGACTGCGGTGGGGGAGAGGAAACCAGTCCATCCATAGCCCGTGGCTGGAAAAGATAATGGCTGCATTGTCACCCCCTGGCCACCTATGGCTCATTAACACAGCCACTTCCGAAGCTTACAAACCGGGGCCATGTATACTCATGGGATTTCTGTTATTCCAGTGCATTCCACTGCTTGTCTTTGCCATACCCTTCAACATTTCTCCTATGAAAATAGGGAAGTCCAAAATTATTATTATTATTATTATTATTATTACATCCTGCTCATCTGACTAGGTTGCCCCAGTCACTCTGGGTGACTTCCAACATACAGTGGTACCTCGTGTACCCTGATCCTCTTGGGAGTGATCTATGGGGAGCAAGCACCCGCAGAGACACAGAGGTCAGCCTGTGGCCCAAACCTCTGGATGTTGCTGGGATCGGGCTTCCCTCAGACCCCATCTAGCATGGCCAATGGTCAAGGCTGAAAGGAGTTGAGGCCCAAGAAGCATCTGGTGGGCGTAAGAAGAAGAAGAGTTTGGATTTGATATCCCGCTTTATCACTACCCTAAGGAGTCTCAAGGCGGCTAACATTCTCGTTTCCCTTCCTCCCCCACAACAAACACTGTGAGGTGAGTGGGGCTGAGAGACTTCAGAGAAGTGTGACTGGCCCAAGGTCACCCAGCAGCTGCATGTGGAGGAGCGGAGACACAAACCCGGTTCACCAGATTACGAGTCTACCGCTCTTAAACACTACACCACACTGGCTAAGGTTGGGGGCTGCTGATACAGGCACACATGAAATGGTAACTCAGTTGGTTAGAGCATGGTGCTGACAAGGCCAAGGTTGCAGGTTTGATCCCTGTAAGGGACAGCTGCATTGCAGAGGGTTGGACTGGATGATGGTCAGGGTCCCCTCCAATTGTATGGTTCTATGAATATGGGCGTGCATCTGGACGTTTGGCCAGCCTGCAGGCCATGCTCTTTCGGAAGCCCCACTGCCTCAGCCTCTATTTAAGGAGGGCTGCCAGGACCTTCTGTATGCTGAGCTAGTGCTTCACGGTAAAGAGTTGCGCATCTCCCTTCGATTTCACATTGCAATCTGCCACCAGAAATCGGGGGTGGGCGACATAGCTGTCTGTCCAGCACCAAGCGAAATGCAGATTCCTCCACCCACCCACAGAACAGCTCCGTTCTTCAAGAAGCAAACACACACACACACACACACACACACACACTGAGGACATGCAACATGAAAAGCAGCTGCTTGAGCAACGGTGCCAGTTAATAGCACTCTGAAATTAAAACGCCCACGCAAGACTGGGAGCAATTTCTCCAGGAGGGGATTCAGCAATTGTCTTCATGTTAATCAGCCTCGACTCATCTTAGCCCACATTAATAATAAAAAAAGGCAAATGCATTCGAGGAAGTGCCCTTCAGTGGGAAACATCCACAATATCGTAATGAGTTCCAAGGGAAGGGGGGGTAGAATCCCTCTGAATATAAAGGCAGGAAGAAAGCAGCCATTGCAGTTGGCTTCTCAGCGGACAGCGACTTACTCTGATCTGGGAGATTTGAGGTGCATGTCCTGAGCCTGGTTTCATTGCTCTGTTGCAGCTAGTGAATGCAACTCCACGTTGGTTGTGGTTGTCATCAAGGATGCAGAGTGGCCTGTGGTGAATAATAAAAGGTCACTATGAGCAGGTCAGGGATGCAGGTGGCACTGTGGGTTAAACCACAGAGCCTAGGACTTGCTGATCAGAAGGTCGGTGGTTCGAATCCCTGCGACAGGGTGAGCTCCTGTTGCTCGGTCCCTGCTCCTGCCAACCTAGCAGTTCAAAAGCACATCAAAGTGCAATTAGATAAATAGGTACCACTCTGGCGGGAAGGTATAAGGCGTTTCTGTGTGCTGCTCTGGTTCGCCAGATGACCTGGCCACATGACCTGGAAGCTGTACACCAGCTCCCTCTGCCAATAAAGCAAGATGAGCACCACAACCCCAGAGTCGGTCACGACTGGTCAGGGGTCCCTTTACCTTTACCTTTATGAGCAGATCAAGCACATTCCCTGCTTTTGCAGTGCATCCTCCAAGCAGGGAGGGTGAACAGTGGAGTTTGTCTGCCTTTGAAGCTTTGAATCCAACAAGCAGACTTCCTTAGGAAATTTGCTCTTCTGCAGACAACTTTATCCTCTCACCATGATAGGTCAAAGGCTTTGGCAAAGGACATCACCCTGTGTAAGAATCGTAGAATCACAGAATTGCAGAGTTGGAAGGGATGTCAAGGGCAATTTAGTCCAACCCCCTGCAATGCAGGAATCACAACTGAAGAGTCCCTGACTGGTGGCCACCCAACTTCTGTTTAAAACCCTCCAGTGAAGGAGAGCCCACCACCTTCCAAGGGAGTCCATTCCACTGTCGAACAGCTCTTTCCATCAGAAAGTTCTTCCTAATGTGGAATTGGAAGCTCCTGTCTTGTCATTTTAATCCATTGGTTTGGGTCTTCCCCTTTGGAGCGAAAGAAAACAAGCTTGCTCTACCTTCCACGTGAGAGCCCTTCAGACATTTGAAGATGGCTATCACACCACCCTTCTTCTCTGGGCTAAAGGGTCTTGGAAGAGGCTGGTTGCTGAGTCAGGCGAAAGAGGACCCATCTTAGCCCAGCATTCTTTCCTCCCAGTGGCCAACTGGATGTCTTCAGGATGCCTGAAAGGGAGGGACTAATTTGCACAGGTGTAAGACCTCAAAATCCTGCCAACCTAGCAGTTTGAAAGCACATCAAAGTGCAAGTAGATAAACAGGTACCGCTCCGGCGGGAAGGTAAATGGTGTTTCCGTGCGCTGCTCTGGTTCACCAGAAGCGGCTTAGTCATGCTGGCCACATGACCCGGAAACTGTACGCTGCTCCCTCGGCCAATAAAGCGAGATGAGTGCCGCAACCCCAGAGTCGGCCACAACTGGACCTAATGGTCAGGGGTCCCTTTACCTTTAAGACCTCAAAAACAGAAAATTGGCAGCATATGCATCTCATGGCATGTTTGCTTGAGGCAACTTACGGGTTATTTTGTCTTTTGGGGAAGGTTTAAACAAATATTTTGATTCCCCCAAACAGGAACGTTAACCACCGCCATTTAGACGACTGCGTCTTTCACCCTATTAGTCGTACACAATTTGTTCCCATTTTGCTTGGAATCATCTGTTTGTTTCTGCCATAAAGATTTGATTACTTTCCTTGTTTCATTAATCTTCGTTTGTCTAATTATTTGCTTAATCTTTTTAATCACTGGTTTAAGTGGAAGGAGAAGGCTTTTAGTGGGAATTGCTCATTCTGATTAATTCCAGGGGTGTTCCTTCATGCTCCCCACTCTCCTGCGGACGTTTAACTTGCTAGTTTCCGAAAACCGATTGGTTGGTTAAGAAGGCCTAGTTCCTAAGTTGGAAAGATGGCGGCAAGCGTTTTATCCAGGGCAGGAGTAGGCAGCTTCAGATACAACAGGATTTCTAGTGGGAAGCTCACACTTAATGGCTTGGATGCTATGGAATATTATTCATTTACTACTCATTTATTGGGACGCGAGTGGTACTGTGATCTAAACCACAGAGCCTAGGGCTTGCCGATCAGAAGGTTGGCAGTTTGAATCCCCGTGACGGGGTGAACTCCCATTGCTCGGTCCCTGCTCCTGCCAACCTAGCAGTTTGAAAGCACATCAAAGTGCAAGTAGATAAATAGGTACTGCTCCGGCGGGAAGGTAAACGGCGTTTCCGTGTGCTGCTCTGGTTCGCCAGAAGCGGCTTAGTCATGCTGGCCACATGACCCGGAAACTGTACGCCGGCTCCCTCGGCCAATAAAGCGAGATGAGCGCTGCAACCCCAGAGTTGGCCACGACTGGACCTAATGGTCAGGGGTCCCTTTACCGTTACTCATTTATTACACTTCTATGCCCACTTTCCCCCAAGGAGCTCAAGGTGGCACACAAGGTTCTTCTTCCTTTGAGTTTTATCCTCACAACAGGTAGGTTAGGTGGAGAGTGAGTGGCTGGTCCAAGGTCGGTCTCCCAGTGAGCTTCGTGGCCAAGTGGGGATTTGAACTCTGGTTTCTCCCTTGTCCCAGTCTGACACTCTAACCACTGCACTACCCTGGTGGTAGGGTTGCCATACATCCAGAATTTCCCAGACATACCCGGAATACTGTATCTGAAAGCAGGGTCCGAGCGGAAACTGGCAAAACGTCCGGGGAAATCTGGATGTATGGCAACCAATGCTGGTAGTGTCATTTTTGCTAATGTTCCTAAAAAATAGCTCAACAACTTTGCCAAAAGAAGCTCAACATGGCAACCCTACTGCTCCTGCTGTGGCAAAATTCTCACGTCCAGGGATGGACAAATCTGTTAATTTCTGTTAATTCCCCTCTTTCATTTTCCCAGTCTTCAGTTCAGTTTGCCACTTCTCTGCATCAGTTTGCATTTTTTATGCATGTCTAAAAAGCCTCCATGAAGATCCACCTGCATTTTAGTGAGCAGCTCTCACAATATACACATTTTGAAAAATATAGTTTTGCCTCATATACAGATTTTTGCAAACAGTTTCCTCTAATGCACCCCCCTATGTTATGTTTTCTGGTAAATGAATCTCCACACACCCCTTCCCCTAATGCACATATATTTGGATTGGAGAACTGCATTGCAAAATTCAGAGAATTGCAAATTTCAAAGGCTAGCTGCATTTCGGTCTGTGTATTGATTCGGGGTGTGTGACTTAGATAGGTCCCCTATTCCACCTCTGCTGCATCAGAAAAAGATATCTGTTGAAGTCAGAAATGCTTCCTTCCACCTTTCTTTAAAACTCCTTGAGCTTTAACAAGGCACCTTCAGACAGCTGAAGGACTGCCCTTTGCTTTGAATTAGAAATACACACGATTTTGCAAATAAGTGTAATCGTTTAAATGGCTCACATGGAGAAGGGACCCCAACAAAGAAAAGCAAGAATGTACCTGGCCTCTGCTTGATGATTTCTCTCTTTCTCTGACTCTTTCTGTGATAATCTGTCACAAGCAAAACTTGAAAGCCTTGTTCTCACCTCATCTATTGGCCAGAACAAGGAACACCTGCCATTTACGCTGGCACTCTGGAAGATGACTCCCTTGCGCCTGCCCTGAGGAAGGCGGTGCTTCGCTGTGTTCCCCCCTCCCCTATGCTGCATACGGCTTCCCTTTGCTCTCCTGCGCACATCCGTGTTGCTCAGGCAAGCAAATCCTTTCCTTCCACCTCCCTTCATATTCACCAAATCTCTAAAGCTTCCAAGAGCATCCCTTTGATCTTGCAGGCCTTGTCCTTGCCTCTCCCCCCCTCCCCCCGCAACTCCCCTGAAGGCTAGGAAGGATGAATATTTCATGCTATGTCTGTGTTTTGACTCTTGCTATGAGAGATGCAATTTTTCACCAGCCCGGGGTGTTTGTCTGCTCCTGTAATCACTCGCCTCAATCACGGATGTAGCGTTTTATGAATTAATAAAAATGATCATGGGTAATCCAGTGGGATTCTGGGAAAAAGAAGGTTGCTTGGCAGAATCTTAATGGGCTCGGCTGAGAATGGGAGGGCCTCATTTCCTTTCATGTTATCTGTCTTTCTCGTGACTCTGCTCTCCCTCCCCACAGCCCACACCCTTTCTGTTCTGGACACCCCCTTGCAGTCTGCTCCCCCTAAATCACTGTTGTGCAAATGAGAGTTTTCCTGTCCCATCTAACAGAGCCATCCACTGCCGACCGTTTGCAGCGTAGGGCACCTGCTCTCCTCTCCTAATTGAGTGCGCAGCCTGCCAATTTGTCATGTTTATCTCCAGCCTCTTCCTGGGAAGCATGAGACTGAACAGCCAGTGTGTTTGTGTGTGTGTGTGTGCTTCTCTGCTCCAGAACACTGAAGCCATCGCATTAAAAAAATAAAATTGACAGCTCTCCTGCTTATTACTGAATAATTCATTGTTGCACGAGGGCCTTCAGATACCATCTTCCTCCCTGTTCTCTTCCCCGCCCCCAACTTCTCTCTCTACAACGCCCCCCCCCGAACTCTGCCCACTTGGGGAAACTTTATTATGCCTTTGCTCTTATTACAGAATCTGCGGATAAAAGATAATTGCTTGGCTTGACTCTGCCATTGATATGAAAATAAGATTTAAATTATTCACTCCTGCTTAAAGGTTAGTTGAAGGTTATTATGGAGGATGCAGAACAGCGGCTCTTCATAACGTTTCTGGTCAAGATGAGGTCCGGCTGGGAAACAGGAGAGAGAGGGGAGGGAAATCCTTTTGCACCACAAGCAAAGAAGGTGTCCCGCTGTTCTGAATGAACAGAGAAGGTTCTTAATCGTTCAGAAGTCGGTTATGCAGAAGGACAGAGCTGCCACCTCTCGCCCTTGCATTGACACACTTGCAAGGCGGGTTGATGTGTTTTGCTGTATTCTGACCCCAGAATTCCTTGCAGGACTCGGGCAGCTGCTACATGGACAGTGTGGAATAAAAGGGATGTCAATTTTTAGGGGTTCATCTTCCTGCCTTTTCAAACAACAACCTGGTTGGAATAAAATGTGCATCTTACCGAAACTTCAGTATAGGGGCCAACTTCAAGCGGTGGATGACGCGTTAGGATAATGTACAGTTTCATAAACAGAAGAACCGACCCTCAAGCTATGGATCTAGTCATGCGATCGTCTGGCAGCTCTGTGCATTAGAGAGAGGCTCTGCTGTTCCAATACACCTTGCTAGTTCCCATTTGCATAGTCTAGACCAGCGGTTTCCAAAGCTTTGGGTGCCACCAGCCCCTTGGTTCCATGAACTCATCCCCAGTGCCCAATACCCTATAAAAAGCACTATTCAGAATAGTGGTTTACATGACCCACCAAGGAAGATAAATAATAAAATAATAAATAATAAAATAAACGATAGATAAATGATTAAAAAATTAAAAAACACAATAACATTCAAAACAGCCCCTTTTATTCCAAATCCAATTGAAATGATATTCTTTAATTCATTCAACAATATTGATGAACTTGATCCAACGATACCAGCTTTTCAATGTCATAGACACCTCCAGGGTCCCCTTGCTGTCCCCTTGCCTCTTAGTCCCTCCCCCCCCAGGAATCCCCCCATCAAGGGGGCAGTACTGCCCACTTTGGGACCCATGGGTCTAGAGGATGAGGAGACTGAGTGAGGGGAAAGAGTATAGGATGCTGCCCATCCTGAGCAGCTTAGAACCACAGAATTGTAGAGTTGGAAGAAACCACAAGGCTCATTTGTGGTCCAACTCCCTGCTGTGCAGGAATATTTTGCCCAATGTGGGGCTCGAACCCACAACCCTACAATTAAGAGTCTCCTGCTCTACCTGCTGAGCTTCTGCTCTTGGCTGGTTGGCCTTGATTAACCCTGTCCTCACCCCCATCGGCTTCCTTTTACAAGGATCTTGAAGAATTTGACAGAGCCATTTCCCTCCTCGCTGGGCAATCTCTTTTTGTGCCACTGCCTTCCCCCGCCATGCCAGCATCCTTCTGGAAGGATAACAAGCACCAGGATGCTCTCTGGAAGGCACCCAGCCTTACTTGGCACCGTTGGATGTTTTCATAGTGAAAGGCTCTTGGGTCCTCCTCCTCCTCCTGCATGCCAATCCGCTATGGGAGTGGGATGTTTTCTTGGCTTGGCTTCCTCCCTGGCTCTGCTCCATTTTGTACTTTTTTCTACACACAACACCATCAGTGTATTCAGGAAGCTTCTTAAAACAAATTGGATTCAGTGGTGGGTGGGATTGCCAAAGTCATTTTCCCCAGAGCCTCACCCCCCCCTTTTAATTTTATTTTTTTGCCATGTACATAAAGCTGAATGTGCACAAATTGAATGTGCATAAGTTACAGGCATACTGTATTTAATAACACGGGTGGCGCTGTGGCCTAAACCGCTGAGCCTCTTGGGCTTGCCGATCAGAAGGTTGGCGGTTTGAATCCCCATGCTGGAGTGAGCTCCCGTTGCTCTGCCCCAGCTCCTGCCAACCTAGCAGTTCCAAAGCACACCAGTGCAAGTAGATAAATAGGTACCGCTGTGGTGGGAAGGTAAACGGTGTTTCTGTGCACTCTGGTTTCCGTCACGGTGTTCCGTTGTGCCAGAAGCAGTTTAGTCATGCTAGACACATGACCCAGAAAGCTGTCTGCGGACAAACACCCTCGGCCTGAAAGTGAGATGAGCGCCGCAACCCCATAGTCACCTTTGACTGGACTTAACCATCCAGGGGTCCTTTACCTCCCCCAAAAGTTAGCCCAACGGGGTGAGGGCAGATAAGAATCTGGTCCTCCAGGCCAAAAAAAATTCCCTGCCCCTTCACCTGCTGCCTGCTGGGTGTGGCAGACAGAAGAACAAAGGACTCAGAATGGCTTGGCATGATTAGCTGTGATTCCTGCATTCGCCAGGGGTTGGACTGGATGACCTTTGGGGTACCCTCCCCACTCTGCAGTTCTATTATTCTGTTATTAGTATCACTCCTCAGTTAGTCCTATCAGCAGTGAATTTCCTGCAGGCTCTGCCTGTTTGCCTCTAGCCTGCATCCTATAATCGGGGCTCTTATATTTAATCTCCAGGCTGCGTCCGCACTGGCGAGGCCCCTTTCAGTCAGCCGAGATCAAGGCAGGCAGGAGTCCAACTCCCGCAGGACTCCCTCTGACAGAACATGGCTGGCTGCGTTGAGGCGCTGGGCTGTGTGATGTGCCTGTGCTGCGAGCAATCAAAGTGTGAGCTATGGCGGCTCTCTCTCCCCCCCCCCCGGGGTCTCGTTGGCAGTTTGGGGGTTTGAAGAGAACTTTCTAGCCCGGGGCTGCTTTCAAAAATTTGACGGCTTCTCCTGTTTAAACAGCCTGGCTGGGGGGCAAACTGTTTATTTCTGTGTCAGTCACAGAACGTAGCTAAGCCGTGAGGTTTGGCGGGACCCCCTCCCTGCTTTGGAGAGCGGGGGCAGGGGGAGAGGGAAAGTGCTGGGGTGGGGGGGGAGAAGAGGTGGCTGGACCAGATTCCATTCCAGGAGCCAATCTATTCTAGCATCCTGTTCTCAGAGTGGTCAACCGGAGGCCCCTGATGAGAAACCAGCAAGCAGGACCTGAGCACAAGAGCCCTCTCCCCTCCCCCTTCCTGCAGCTTCCAGCCAACGGTGTTCAGCAGCATCACTGTTTCCAAATGTGGAGGCAGTGCATGACCTCCAACATGGCTGGTAGCCACTGATACCCTTTGATAGCATATCCGGCGCCGTGGTGCAAAGGTCCCTGTGATGGCCTAGGAATCTGATTCAGAGGCTGAACCTAAGGAATCCCAGCCAGCACAGGAGTCCCCGCCTCCAGGGCTGGCTGAGCTGGGGCAGGGGCTTGAACCTGAAGGGCCCTCACCTGTGCCGGATCCTCAGGAGCAGACACCAGCTGAATCTGCTCTGGCTCCGGAGGTGATCGAGGACCCGTTGCCTGCAGGTGCTCCACTCTCTGCCCCGTCAGGGGAAGGTGAGGTTGCCTCTGAGTCCGGTAACCCTCCAGCCTCTCCTGAGCTGCAGAGGCTCAGGGCAGAGAGGCAGAGGGAACTAAATTCTCGCAGGAGGAGTGCTCGCCTCCAGGCCAGGAGAGGCGGGTCACCTGTGGACAAGGGCCGCCCTATGCCTCAGAAGCGATCAAAGCCAGGCAGCCCAGTCCCAGGTTGCGGGAGCAACATTGTTGGTAGCCTGTTCCTGCTGGCACCCTGTCCTGCTCTTCTGCCAGAGTTCCTGACCACACCTGACTCCTTGCCTTGGACCCCGCTTCAGCCTTGATGGACAGCTTCCATACCACCCCTCGGACTGGACTCTGACCACGCCACATGGCAACCCCCCGGGACCAGCACAGGGCAGCTCCTCCGGTGGGGAAGAGGCAGAGGCTGGACGCAGCACCTCCGGGCTCAGCTGGCCGCTTTGTGCCACGGTGGCCACGGCAGACGGAGGCTCTGGGCACTGTGCTGCTTCAGTGTAGCATGGCAGAGGAGGGCGAGGGTGGTGAGCTGATGCCGGGAGGCGTCGCATCCAGCCTCTGCCTCTTCCCTGGCGCCCTCCAGAACTTGGTGCCCTGGCACCCTGCGCCACTAGTCTCTATGGGTAAGATGCCCCTGAATAGCCTTATCTTCCATGAGATAGCCTTCTTCCTTGATCTCTTCCTCTCTGTTCCTTTGCTGTGTTGTGGCTCCCTTGTCTACATCTGGTTTATTCTTTTGTGTGTGTTTTCTTCCTGGAAAGGGAAAGGGGTGGGGTGGTGTGTGTGTGGAGGAAGACTCCCCAAACAGCATCTTCTGTGTACATTGGCATTTATTCAATTGATAGATTTACACCCATGTTCGGCCTGCACTCTAAACCCCTCTAAACCATTAGGGAGCTGTTTACTTCAGTATGACCTTTGTTATCTGTTGGCGAGTCTATAGACAAGGTCGGTTTTAATCATCCCAGCCACCTGGTGATCAATAGAGGCACTTTTCGCACCAGAAATTCCTTTTTTCTCTCTGCCTATATTTTCCCGTCATTTCATGAGATTCATTTGGAGAAACCAGGATGGACTTTGCTCAGCTGAAGCCCACTGGGGCCATGGAAAGTGGCGGAGGGTTATTTCCTCCACTGTTGTTGTTGCTGATGCTTTTTTAAAAATAGCTGCTCCCCACGAAGCTATTCCACAGCTCGTCAATACCTACTTAACAAATCTGCTTTTAAAACAAGGCATCCAATTTTGCTTGGCTAACTGCCCTGGGGGCTCATCCAGGAAGCCTTTAACAGGTGAATCGATGGCACTTTGTCTCCACTTTGTCATTGGGGAGGATGTGAGTGAGCAAGAATCCCTTAGATCCCTAAGATGTCCTGGTGGGTTCTGAAAAACAGTGACATTTAGAACAGGACACAAAGGAATGGAGTGTGTCTCCTCAGTTGGCGCCAGACAGAACGTGGACCACCAAAGATGCTGAGTGTTGGAAGATTTGGGACTGATGAAGTCCTTCTTCACGCAGCACATAGTTAAACTGTGGAACTCCCTCCCACAGGAGGCAGTGGTGGCCGCCAACTTGGATGGTTTTAAAAAAGGTTGGACATCTTCATGGAGGAGAAGACTATTGATGACTTCTAGCCATGATGGCTATGCTCTGCTTCCATAGTTAGAAGCAGCAATGCTTCTGAATACCAGTTGCTGGAAACTGCAGGTATGGAGGGTGTTCAAATCCTGCTTCTGGGTTTCCCACTGGGGCATCTTGCTGGCCACTGTGGAGCAGGATGCTGGACTGGAGGGGCCACTGGCCTGATCCTGCAGGCTCTTTTTATGTTCTCATGCTGTTGTTCGAGAAAAGCACTCCCCCTCCTTGCCCTGCATCAGTATTTAGCTCAATCTAGTTCATCCAAATTTAAATTTAAACATAAGCCATCATCTTCACTTTGAACCCTCTCCAACGTTCATTAATATAACAGCACTTTATATTGTTTCATTGGTAACATAAGAGGAAAAATGACTATCACTCTTGCTGAATCTAAGTACAACCACCAGGGCTCCTGATTAGGTGCAGAGCTATGTGATGTTGAATGTCAGCTGTTAACTCTGTTCTGTGCTGTTTCTCCTTTGTTTTTGTTTAAACCAATTCGTGAACCAAGAACTTACACAGTTACCATTAATAATGAACCATATGTTGTAGATACTACTGCAAATTTATTGTGCTATTTTTGTGATATGCAGATGGCATAAGAAGACTTGGTCTATTTATTTGCATCATTTGTTATTCCTAGGATCCTTGTTTATAAAACCCCATAAAAGGTATGTTTTAAAAACCCAGCATGTTCTTGAGATATCACTCTGTGTCAAAAAGATGGCTTAAAAAATAACGAAGGGGTGTTGTTATTTGCACTAGTAGATAGGTAAGTTTTAAGAGTGCACAGCAGAGAGATCCAATGTGTGCAACAAAGTTTCTAGTAACCTGCTTTTCCCTTCTCTTGTGCAAGAATTGCTCCACTGGTGCAAAACATTTCACCCATGGAACAGGCATACTGATTTTAGCTACGTGCTGCATTGGATATAACCTGAAGAAATGTAATTACATATTAAATTGTTGTTTGTTTATTGCTTAGTTGTTTTCATCACAAACAAGTGTCACAAATTTCCCAGTGCATATTCCCCCTCCCAGTATGTCTTGAGCTTAGATGCATAGAAATGTTAAATTTCTGAACTGGGAACGATTTGGCTTTGGTGCAAAAGGTCCTCTGTGTGTTGTGATTTTGAGATGCAACAGAGGTGCCTGGGGTTCTGCGATGGAAATATGAATCTGTTGATGTTGCAGTTTGGCTGCAAAGTCCACTTGACTCTAAAAATAGCTCTATATGGGATGTAAAAGC